CGTGTATACTTGTGTGTCTTATTCAATACATGATGAGTTTAATCGTCAACTCTCTATGCTACCTGAGGATTGTCGGACTTTGGAGGCTAGGAATGCCATTTTCCATGAGTTGATAGGTCATGACAATCATGGATATTGTCGCACATACGGGAGAACTGTGCCTCGGAGAACAGTGTATAAAAATGGTGCAGGGCCATCACAATCAGCACCCCAGCCATCAACTATTGTTCAAATCACCCAGTAGGTTCATGCGAAGCTAAGGGATGAGTTGAGGGAGGAGCTACGAGCAGAGTTCTCTACACATTTACAGCAGCTGAGAGCTGAGATGATGGCCTTTGTGTCACAGGAGGCAAGTGTGGATCCCAACAGACAGGTTCAACATAAATTAAATTGTTTGATAGTTAAATTGTCACACAACATTATGTATAAAATTCGAATATGATTAACACATTATGCATTGATTATCATAGGCTCCTGATGCATGAAGTGGCCACCGGGCATTTAGGGAATCTGCAGAAGACGAGAATCCATATACACCACCACCAGAAGATCAGGTATAAAATGTAACTTTACATTCTAAGCTAAAATGTATATTTGCATTCTTTGCATTCTAAGCTAAGAGACTTGTGGGAGAAGACGGGACTCAATTGGGTTCCCGGATTAGGAGTTAGAAATGGATTTCACTTTAGGCGAACTAGTTCTTTAAAAAACTTGAATTCGAGGTGTTAATGCCCCAAAATCACCAAAAGGGGTTGGATTGACACGAAACTTGGTACACACAACCGCCTAGGCACGAGAGACTTGTGGAAGAAGACGGGACTCCAATCGGTTTCCCGGTTTGGGAGTTAGAGCCATATTTCGGTCTAGGCAAATTAGTTCCTTAAGAAACTTAAATTCGAGGTGTTGACGCCCCAAAATCACCAAACGGGGTCGGATTGGTACGAAACTTGGCACACACAACCGCCTAGGCACGAGAGACTTGTGGGAGAAGACGGGACTCCAATCGGTTTCCCGGTTTGGGAGTTAGAGCCGTATTTCGGTCTAGGCAAACTAGTTCCTTAAGAAACTTGAATTCAAGGTGTTGACGCCCCAAAATACCAAACAGGGTCGTATTGGCACGAAACTTGGCACACACGACCACCTAGGCACGAGAGACTTGTGGGAGAAGATGGGACTCCAATCGGCTTCCCGGTTTGGGAGTTAGAGCCATATTTTGGTCTAGGCAAACTAGTTCCTTAAGAAACTTGAATTCAAGGTGTTGACGCCCCCAAAATCACCAAACGGGGTCGGATTGGCACGAAACTTGGCACACAAGACCGCCTAGGCACAAGAGACTTGTGGGAGAAGACGGGACTCCAATCGGGTTCCCAGATTAGGAGTTAGAGACGGATTTCACTCTAGGCAAACTAGTTCTTTAAGAAACTTGAATTCGAGGTGTTAACACCCCAAAATCACCAAAAGGGGTCGGTTTAGCATGGAACTTGGCACACATGACCGCCTAGGCACGAGAGACTTGTGAGAGAAGACGGGACTCCAATCGAGTTCCCGGTTTGGGAGTTAGAGCCGTATTTCAGTTTAGGCAAATTAGTTCTTTAAGAAACTTAAATTCGAGGTGTTGACGACCCAAAATCACCAAACGAGGTCGGATTGGCACGAAACTTGACACACACGACCGCCTAGGCACGAGAGACTTGTGGGAGAATACAAGACTCCAATCGGTTTCCCGATTTGGGAGTTAGAGCCATATTTCGGTCTAGGCAAACTAGTTCATTAAGAAACTTAAATTCGAGGTGTTGACACCCCAAAATCACCAAATGGGGTCGGATTGGCACGAAACTTGGCACACACGACCGCCTAGGCACGAGAGACTTGTGGGAGAAGACGGGACTCAATTGGGTTCCCGGATTAGGAGTTAGAGATGGATTTCACTTTAGGCGAACTAGTTCTTTAAAAAACTTGAATTCGAGGTGTTAATGCCCCAAAATCACCAAAAGGGGTTGGATTGACACGAAACTTGGTACACACAACCGCCTAGGCACGAGAGACTTGTGGAAGAAGACGGGACTCCAATCGGTTTCCCGGTTTGGGAGTTAGAGCCATATTTCGGTCTAGGCAAACTAGTTCCTTAAGAAACTTAAATTCGAGGTGTTGACACCCCAAAATCACCAAATGCCCGGTTTGGGAGTTAGAGCCATATTTCGGTTTAGGCAAACTAGTTCCTTAAGAAACTTAAATTCGAGCTGTTGACACCTCAAAATCACCAAATGCCCGGTTTGGGAGTTAGAGCCATATTTCGGTTTAGGCAAACTAGTTCCTTAAGAAACTTAAATTCGAGCTGTTGACACCTCAAAATCACCAAATGCCCGGTTTGGGAGTTAGAGCCATATTTCGGTTTAGGCAAACTAGTTCCTTAAGAAACTTAAATTCGAGCTGTTGACACCTCAAAATCACCAAATGGCATTCCAAGAACAATTGCAAACAGAGGCAAACCAGGGCATCGCAATGGATTTCCGCGCAAGGCGACTCAAGCATGCATCATTCATCATTCGGAACAGAGCTGAGGCGGTCCATGGATTTGCGTGCTAATTTACCTGCTTTCCTAGATTAATTTGTTAATTAATTAGGATTTTGTATTTATTCGGACTGTACTATTTATTCGGACTGTTTATTATTTATTCGGACCCTCCGAGCGAGGGCACAACTATAATAAGTGTGCGTGTGTGTGATGTATGTTTTCCAACCCCACGTCTTTCTCCCTTTTATTTACCAGCTTCGATGGTTAGTTTTAGGGCATGTTTCAATTAGCATACTTATGCTCGCATGTTTGCATTCATTCATCTGTTTTGCATGCACCGGGCTCGGCGCATCATACTAACTGCATTTGTATTTCAATTCCAAATTGAATATGCGTTAGTTGTAGCATCATCATATGTCATGTTTAGAATAGTCGAGCCTATCTTAGTTGCATTTTTGCATGTGTTGCATTAGGCATTTCTGTATAATTAGGATCATGCACGGATTTCTAATTAGCTTCTGTTTTGGCTTGGAGTACTCGGTAAGTTTTTGTGCTTTAGCATCCTTGCATGCGTGTGAGTGACTGCCATGATAGCATGCTTACCATGAGGCTATGTGTTTATGTGATATACTTGCCTGAATGCCTGTGGGTGAAGGTTGGGTTACTTGGATTGGAACAAAGCATTGACTGTGAGTTTTAAGCCCACTAGATAGTGGCAAAATCATGTTTTCTAAGCCCACCTGAGGGTGGAAAAATCTGTATTTTAAGCCTACTTACGAGTAGCAAACCTCTTTAAAAAACAAACATGAAATGTTTTGTTCCAATTCAGGCAATCCAGTCTATACTTGTATGCTGTGCACATCACATAGTCAATCTAGGCTAATAACCGGAATAAGAACGCATAATGTCTTCAAAACTAGATATCATGGTTAGTAGAAACCGATCTTTGATCGGGCGAGCGGGTGTGTTCACGAAGTGACCTTCCCCAATCGTACCCAAGTTCCCAAGCCGAGGCAACTTTGGTGATGACGGACACGTGGCCTTAGGCAACGAGTCAGGGTTTTCTAAATTTCCCAAAATAAAATATTTAGGTAGTGACTCTGTATCTGGCAAAG